CTACACCCCAGGTTCATGGAGCGTATTCCAAAGCCAGTCAAGCTTCTGTGCACGAGCCACCGCAGGGCAGCGGGAGCGCGGCCGTCAGAGCGGTGCGCTTCGCATGATCAAGTCCTGTGACGTACCGCCCGCTTTGTCTGTTGATGCGAACTTTGACGACCGGAGAGCCCAGAACTTCTGAGATTGGAAATCATCTATTGCGAGTCTTTAAAAAAGAGCGTACACAGCACCTCAGCAGCCAAACCTAATGTGGTCCTTTTGTGCCAAAGCAACATGCACATATTCGCTCCGCCATGCGTGTGCCTGTGCCTGCGTGAGTGTTTTTGTAACCGGCCCCGCCTAAATTTGGACGTGCTTTTTAGTGCACACCACAATACAATACGAGCTTATCAGGTTTGTTAGCGAGCAAACGGGCCTTCGCTGCCAGCGCGGCGGCAGCGTCTCCGCGATGGTGTGAGCAGCCTCTCTGCCGATTGGTCTACACCATCTGGAGCCCACATGTGGGCCACGTGGGTTTATGGGGACACGTGAGCGGGGACGCACGGTCCCTGCCGAGCAGTCCACGTTCAGGCTCCGACAGCGCGGCTCGACGCGAGCCGCGTCAGCGTTTACGACGACGACGACGACGACCTCGGAGTGTGCGACGCCGCCCTTCCATCCCCCCTCTCACCTTTGCCTTGCAACTCTTTGGGTAATAGAAACTCTTCCTTTTCAACGTCTGTTTTCGAATCAAGTCGATGGTCCTCCGGAATACTAACGAACTCTTTCGCACGAACAAGGTTTACTTATTGATTACATGGCAAGATAAGTAATGTGATCAACAGTCGGGAATCAGAAAACATTGTACGAGGAACTGCTCAGCTGCCTGCTCTGCAGACCTGCCCTTCAACTTTCGAATCCACTCACGTTTCCGGGATACATCACTTGGGAATTTATAACATCACGTCCCCCCCCCCCTTTAAATGCCCGCGAGTTCCGCAGGCGCTGGACTAAGCAGGCAGGGTCCACAGGCGCTTGACTGGGCTGCAGGATCCACAAAATCCGCAGGCGTTCGACTGAGAAGCAGGGTCCACAGGCGCTGGATTGGGCCGCGGGGTCCGCAGTCACCGGATTGGGCCGCAGGATTGGAAAGCGTCCGTCACCGAGTGTCAGGCTTGACAAAAACGATTCGCAGCGACTGGAATCGTCATGGAGCTCGACAACTTGCATCGACGGCCATTTAGTATGTCATTGTGGTACTATGATTAGTCCTTGAGATTGCGGGGTGGGGTGAGGGCAACGCGCGTTAGTTTTTACCGGCATGATCTTTTTGGCATGCCGCAGATCACATGCATTGATAGAAAACTGCGTATACTGCAGTGGTGCAGAAGCCATGCAATAGAACTTCTGTGGCATATCAGATATAGCGCTGTAGACAGAAAGGATCTAAATTCGCTATTTTCATGCTGGTATTGTGGGAAATTGGCCAACAGGTTATGTATGTCTGAATGCAACACAAATGTGGCAAAGCATTTCACCAAAATAATGTATGGCATGCTCGCTATCTGAATAAGGACGCTTCGATGCACCACTGGTTGAGAATTGACTCCAGGATCTGCCCATGCTGAGGACAACCCGCCGGCAAGCTGCCGCCATGGCGAAAGCTGACGGACACAACGTCAGAGGATACACACGCCAGCACATCGGACATTTCTCTGATAAGTTTAGTATTTTGCCAGCCCATAGTCCCACCTCGTTCTCTCGGACCAATTCCCCTTGGACAGACTCAGAATGCATAGCTTTTTTGGCGCAGGGTTTCAGGCGGCAAGCAATTATTGATGGGGCTAAAAGTGCCAGGGAGGAGGCTGCTAAAAAAAATAACTCAGAAAGATGCGCCTGCGATGGAGGAGGGAGGTCACAGTGCCAGAACACATCTCACGTGTAGCTTTGGCTGATTATCATCAAGGACCCCAAACATTTTATCACAAACCCAGTTACGTCATCTGCTGCCAACGCGCAGGAAATCCTCCAAATCTAGCACCCAGCCATCAAGAGGTCACTGTAGCCAGAAACGTCACGCCCCGGCCGCGCTGGTAGCCGGCGCTCCGGTTGACCTGTACTGCGATCGCAGCCCGGCCGCGCTGGTAGCCGATGCTCCGGTTGACCTGTACCGCGATCGCAGCCCGACCGCGCGCGTGGAGGGTGCGTAGGTCCCATTGCTGAACACCAGCGTCACTACGTGTTTTCGACCTTAAGTACAAGCATGACCAAACTATCAGCATTGACCGATAAATAGCCTTGGCATTGACGACTGTTTTCAGAATTGCCAGAATCTAAATGTGCAGTCTTATTAAATGGAAAAATAGGTGACGTCCCGTGGGAAATCATTTCGCCGACCATTTTTCCGATTTTTTTCGATTCATTTCATTCCTGATCAGTCTATTTTGATGATTACTGAAGATACGCTCCATGCCGAACTGTTGTGGTGGATTGGATGGTGGTATGGTACTAACGTGAATTTACTACTAAGTCAGCAAAGGAAAAAAAGGCGCCATCTATACACACGATGCTTGGAAGCGTCTTGCCGGATGGTCAGATGCGACTGTAAAAATGAAGTAATGATTGGAACTGCTTTTCTCACTTGACCTGCCGTAAGCTTGATATAAATGTGTGACGTATCATTGAGGCTATATGACTACCCAGCAGCTGAGGCTATGTAACGTTGACCGTTTCTCACCCTGGCCAGAATGGTGGGCACGGTGGGTGACCAAGCCCTGCGTCTCTGGTTTCCCAGACACGGAGTTTAACCACCACACCGCTGATTACCTGAGCTCGATAAAAACAACTCTTACACTGCCCTTTATACATTCCGGCTTCTTAGATTCACGATGTAACGAATTTAATGGAAAAACTCACGTTATTTGTCATATTTTACCCGATGTGACCGTCTTGCCAAACGGGTTTAACCTGGTCACGGACGTTAACGACGTTCAGGGCACAACATTTCCACATTTTCGCGACCGGCGGACAGGAAGGTCTGACGCACACAGCGCCAAGAACGCATCACGGAGCGTCGATTTTTCACATCTGACCTCTGAGCGTCTTGAGGGTGAGTTCACAGGACAGTGGTCTGATGTAGTGGGACTTGCTTAAAGGTCATAGATAAAACAGTCTTGGACTGAGGCAGCTGAAGTCAGCTACAATGCAGCAAACGGTTCGAGAGATGCGTTCAAAACACAAAGACGCTGCGTACATATGTCCTGGTAACGGTTGGTCAGCGCCTTAAGCCACTCCCACCGCCTTATACAGTGTTGCTGGCCTAGTTGGAGCCATGAGGAAAACGTCGAGGTTCTGAAAAGAACCGAAACCTGCCGACGCGCACCGCTATGTTTGCCAGACTGCACGTCTGGTGGCGCCACTTGTTTCTCACATAGGGGCGCTGCTGGTCTGGTTAAGGTCGTCAGCGACTGTCGCTTCTGTACCTGACTGACCAATATAGACGTTCGTTCCTAGAAGCAGAAGGGAGCAAGTGACCAGGCCAGTGTTACAGCGCTTCGCACGGATTTGTGCTTGGCCAATACCGGAGCTTCTGTGCAGAGTATAACGACCTTACAATCAACACGAATGCGCAATTAATGTGACGCTTCACTTACCAAACAGCATACGTTAAATTTTAAATGGGCCTTCGAAAGGAGCAGCGTATCGTACTGTGCAGCACTGTGCTAAGCTCCACTAGGATGGGGTTTAGCCAGCATCGTAGTTAAGTAAAACTCTCCAGATTGCGTTTAGGGACTGCCATAGTGCCTGAGTTTCCATGCCGTATTGGCAGTTCTCACACTGCGTTGTCACTTAACACGAGTGATGCTCTGGATCGGAATTAACCCCATGCTGAACACCCTCAGGAATATGACAACACACTCACTTTGGCCAGATGTGTTACCAAATTGTAACATACGCTCGCGCTTGGGGTCAGTTCCACCCACCCCCAGCTTTTTTTTCTCAAAATAAGTTCCGAACGGCGCGGTGCAGCCGCCCCAAACTTTGTTAAACTCTAGGAAACTAAATTTTCGACCTATTGGTATCAAATTTCATATATTCTCTGAAGCGTCTGACACCTGTGATAGGTCAAGGTCAGGCTATAGCTCTCAGCAAAGGCAGCTCCTCAGGAATCGTTCAATATAATGCGAAAACAGTGTTCGGCAAATTCGTAAATTTTCGGATGGTTTCTCAGACAACGGCTTTATTGAAATAAGGATCACGACTAGTTCTTTTATTCACCTTGGGTCAGGCGTAAAGGTCAGATCAAGGTAAAACACACACAACCTTATTTCTGGAAAATTTGCTTGACGACTTAGCCTTTGACACTCATTTCGAGCTCCTGGATCACAATGACATACAACGGCATGTTATATACTTGATACAGGTCAGCTGATGAAACTGAACCCAAACTGAACTCGGCTAGCCACGTGCTTTGAGGAGTATGCCGCTTTGGATAGTGCTTGGTGTCGTCTGTCAGTGCAAATAACAAAATAATCCCAAAGTTTTGTGGCCATTTTTACCGTCTTAAGGCCAAGTTAGATCACTGACTGGGTATTTGCGCTGCCATTTGTACACTTTATACATTCTGACACTTAACTTATATATGAATCTAGCTTGGAAAGGTTGGTTGCGTGAAAAGCTTTGAGAGCACTTCGGGCACCGATCTGGAGTTTGGTCTTATTTGATCTCATTTGACTCTAAGTTCACGACTTCAGGATATCGGCACTTAACACAAGTGAGGTCAGGCACCTACCCTTTGAGGATATTGTGTACATACCTCGCTTTTTGGATGTGTGTGGGACACATTGACCGCCCATCCTCCCACCCCAACCAAGCGCAGCATGTTAAACCGGCCGTCCGGGCGCGTGTTGGCGGTTTGATGCGCTGCGCTCTGCCAGCTGTAGACGGGCTATCTACGCGGAGAGCGAAGCAAAAGCACGTGCTAATACGCAACGCACACAAAAACAACACAAGGACGAAGCATAAACGATGAAAATGTATTTCAATTTGAGGGGGTCGCACACAACTTGCGTGCAAGGCATTCTAATGGAGACGTCACGAAACAGCACGATGGAGAACAGGCGCGCCTCAACGTCATAGGATCACGCGGGCCAAATAGCCTTGGAGACCTGTTTTACACATGACTAGCACCTATTGGCACAGTGATCGGTACAATGTCTCGAACCAGCGAAAGTTTAACACAAATACAATACATTGTCCACACGGTGAGGCATGCCTATGCATGGGTGAGGCAGGCCGACAAAATAGCGCCCCATTCTGGTGTTATCGACCTCAGTCCAACTTCATAGAAAGAAACTACAAAACCGTGCAGTGTTAAGTAAATCGTGCAAGAACACCGTCCAAACTTCCTTCTGTCGTATCTAAAATAGTAAGTAGTCCATGAATAACGCATATCATTGAATCAGTCAGTGATCAAAGGTATGTCCAAACGTCGCAATCTCGAAGTGTGTTCGCAGTGGGGATTTATGACATCTGGACCCTAAGCGACTGCGTAGGCGCGCTGTCTGGGCTGTATGCAGCTATATACTGTCATTAGGTGCGCCCCTCAGCCACGGAACCTTGTGTGGGCTCAATTGGCCAGCTACCTTTGTTCCGTGTAAACCCATATCCATCTATGATAATTTTCGAAGCGTTGCAATGGATTTGCCACCACCTTGCTTCTGGCACGCCGGCTCATTTGAAAGATTAAACGTAACAAAATGGGACGACTCAACTCTTCGCTTTTGTAAAAATCATGTGATGCGGCTAGGCCAACTTTGCTTTGAAACGGTAAAATACAACAAGAAGTGACACCAAACTGGGCCTTAAATAAATAGCATTGCTTTCGTAGCCCTCTTTTTTTCAAACGCACATAGAGCTTCAAAAAAATATCTTGGTTTGTCAGTCTCTGGTGATATCTGTCTCGATTTGTTTCCCAGCGATCACTGTTAAGCTTTGTCGGGCCAAGCTACATCATGGTGCTTGTGCCTTGCGGCAGCGTTATTGATTGCTACATTGATTGTTGTCAACCATGTCAACCATGATCAATGTCGAAGTCATGTCAACTATCCAGGGCACTACTCAATGTACAACACGGCGCGTTGTTTGACTTGCCGTGAACTGTGCAGAGCAAATGGTCTCGACAACTTCTGGCCACGTTTCATGCGTATTACACCAGTTTGCTTACACTTGGCAGGACTCTATGCCGAGTGTAGCACATTCGCACAATATGCTGCGATCAAACATTACCATCTTAGACTTCTACGAATACTCGATGGGCACACACTACACACATGATGAAACCGATTTCGGCGCGGTTCTGAAGAACTTTATATGTACACAGAGACCAGCGGTATGCCGATGGTGTAAACTTCACAAAATGACGCGATTCGCCATGCACATGTAGAACATATAAGACAATCATGTGGTCAGGATGCGGTCAGTCGGGCAAATTACCGTGCAATATCCCACTGGATGGGTTATTCTTGTTGCAGTGACCTTACAATCAGGGACCACCCATCGGCAAGGAATACACGCGCGGAACGCTCGCGAGTGACCTCCCTCAGACGCACTTACATGGAACGGAGCCGGCCGCTCCACCCCTGTGCACTGCCTGCATAGCGCCTCAAAGTAGAGCTGGCTGGCTGAGCTCTCAGTCAGTCGCCCTGGTCGCGGCGGGCCGGCCCGACTGCACTGGCCACAGGCGCTGGACCGTGCTGGCGTCCCGGGCCGTCCAGCAGCCTACCTCAGGTCAGCTGGACCGGGCGTAGCGTGGCTCTCAGGGGACACATCTGCGCACTCCCTGCAGGCGGCCATGTCCGCCCAGGTCGACACAGTCTCTCGCGGCTCAGTGCACCACTGCAAGATCGCAGAGTTTGTCTCGGGTTACGACATTTCCATACAGCCAAAGCGTTCCCAGTTTGCTCATTTGGCCGATCGCGTTGTCTCCAATCGGCTTGTTTCCCCAAGACCCGGGCGGCGGTTCGTTTCGGCCAGCATCGCTTGTCATGCCGTCGTCGCATCTGTACGCCATTGCGACATATCTCGTATCTGCACGTCCTCCCCTGGGTGAGCAGAGGCCACAGGGCCGACCTTTCGCGGATGCCGAGCCACCGCCCGGCAAGTCCGACCCCTCCTGCCGCCCTCGGCCGGCGCGCGGGCGCCTCAGTTGCACGTGTGTCTCTCGACAGTCCGGTTGCACTGCTCGCACTGCACGTGGCAGCAGTAGACGAAGCGGCAGTTGCACTTCTCGGAGAGCTCGAGCACCTCGGTGCGGAAGCCGCGGCCGCAGCAGAGCAGCTTGCAGCCGTCCATGCCCCAGGAGGTGCGGTTGCACTCCCGTCCGCGTGTGCCGGCGATCCCGAATCTGCCGGTGCACAGCGGCGCCGTCAGTCTCGTGACGCCTGTCAGCCGTCAAGGGATGTCGGTCACGACTCGTAAGGGGACAGCTACACACGCGTCTCCAAGGATATGATGGGTCACCAAGGTAAGAGCTTTTGACAGGAGCATTAAGAAATGGGCAGGATTTCGGAGCTGTCATTGCAGGGCAAAGTGTTCTGTTAGGGTGGGAAGCGGGGGTCGCACCAATGCTTTCATCTTCATTGGTCTTTCCATGCACCGCCATACTCTGCAGGTCAAGCTTTTCCACTGTCGGTCTGCTGACATTCAACGTGACCCCATGGTTGGTACCCATCACTGGGAGGAGGTTGGCAAATCATGGGCAAATTCCGTGTCATCCCAAATCATGAGCTCCGTGACTGCGACCACCGAGAGGCACCCTCCGTCCTCTGCGTTTCCCATCCCGGCAGTGTTCGCGGCGTGAATGTGCAGCGGACGCAGCGTGACCGTGCAGCGGGCGCAGCGTGACCGTGCATCGGGCGCAGCGTGACCGTGCAGCGGGCAGCGGGCGCCCTACTTGTCGTTCCTGTCGCAGTAGTTTGGCGAGTCCTCGAGGTACACCAGGTCCCGCCTGGTGGGGCGCTTCTGGCGCGGATATTTGGGCTTAAGACGAAGCCGGCGTCTGCGACGAACTGTGCGCATCATCGTGGCAGAATCAAACTTCTTTCTCAGTTTGTCACCGATCTGCAACACCAGTCAGAGTCATTGGTGAATTGATGTTAAGTTGTAACAATACAATTTTCTAAACATTGGCACCAATCACGTAAGCGCGCTGATTTCGCAAACGTCCAACACACTGGAATAATTAGGAAGCCCATTGACTCTTTGTTTTCAAGATGCCATAATCTGAGAGAAAATCTAAATAAGCACAAAATCCGGCACGGGTGAGTTGGCTGCCGTGATCACTGACCCAGGCACTGAGCGACATGTAGACAGATATGTTAGAGCAGCGCAGAGATATGTGTGAACTTAGCTCCATGAATCCCGATCAGACTGCACGGTATGTTCAATATCGGGCATCTTCAAGATCATCAAGATCAGCAATCAAGCACAACGATTTCTCAGCTAGTCCGGCAATTTCGCTCATTCACAAGGCCTTACTTCCCACATCCCATGTGAAGAAAGAGCACGAGAGCCAGCACGAGCAGCACGGACAGGGTGAACTATAGAGACGTGACAACTGCTTAAACCGTCGGACAACTGAACTGTTTCTCTCCTCACCACGACACGCTGGTTCCATACCTCTCTGAAGGGCGCCATCTTTCTCCAGCACACCTGCATGTTACAGGACCCGGACACACCGTGGCACTTGCAGAGACGCACTAGGCTCTTCTTTATTATCTGCAACAATGTCGCAAGCCGTGAGAGGCGGGACGCGGCTCAATACGTATGGAATGTTCGCCCATGGCCCTCCCGCTGTGCTTATTGGTAGTGGGCTGAGGCATTGGTACAAAACTTCAGCAAGTATGGTTACAACTGGCATGGGTCAGTCAACCAGTCGCAAGGAATGCGGAAGTGGACGTTGAACATTTGCAGTTATACGAACGGACAGCGAGGCAGTCAGTGACATCGCGACAGTGAGTATGTAGACGCTTCGCCGGACTTGGCTGTTTCGGTTTTTATGTCATCGTAATTTCTGCTCCGACAGGCACCGCTGGATTTCATCCGTGGATATTCCATCCCATTACCGGTATAAAATTTTACATCTTCGTTTTACGGCCTATAATATCCTTATCACGGAACGCCGGGAGCCAGTAAAACGGGAACAAAGGGGGCTTTTCACTGGAGTGGGGGAAACTTTCAGCTCGCTGGATAATGCTGCTTTGTGGAGACCTCCGCTGCCATTGTTCGGTTCCATTGTCCCGTATTTACCAGGGGATATGCAAGTTTTGTCAAACATTCGACTCTCCATTACCAAGGGACCCTAAGCCAAGTTCCAGACTCAATTCAGTGATACAGAGCGTGGCGGTCTGTTTCAGATAAGCTCTGCCTCACAAGGCATCGAGCCGCCGCTGGTGAGGCCAGCAGTAGCTGCTTCCCGACGCATCGAACCGGCATATTTGACGGAGCCATCAGGGTCGCTTGAAGCTGCAGCTTGTCTCTCATCCGTTGCTTAAACATCGCCGGCCGCAGGTCAGCTGGACATTGCGCTGTGGCTGCTTGCCAAGCGCAAAGTACGCTTGGCATTAATCAAGAGCTTGTGCACCACGCGCTTTGTTCCCGTGCAGCCATCAGTGACATCCAAAGGTGACGATGACACATCACCATGCGGACACGCCCGCCCAAGTCGCTGCATGACACGGATGATTCAGTTCTGACATAGCTTCTCATGCGTCCGCGCAGCGTCAGCAACGATTCAGTTCTGACGTAGATTGTCAGCTGTGAGCGCAGCGTCAGCAGAGACCGACAATGTAGCAGTCGGGTGCTGCAGCATGGAGCATGCAGCTCCATTGACTGCGGCGGTGCGCTGCAGCTGTGCGCGATGGCTGTACATGCGAGTGTGTGGAGGAGAGCTGTCATAGGGGGGATGGTTGACAGGCTGCTATGGGGCGACGTTTTGAGGCGTGTTTATAGTGTGTGTGGCGTTAGTCCCAGGCAGGCAAGGAGCTGCTGCTACAAGATGGTCAAAGCCTGTTGTACCGACACCCTCTGACAGCGGGAGAATAGCGTGAGAGCTGTTTGGTTGAAGCACACATTCAGGTTTCGGTCGCTGGCGGAGCCAGGCCGCCATCGCAGGCTCCAGAGCGTCCGCGAGTGCGTGGCGAGTGCGTCGCTAGAACGTTCAGCAGCGCCTCACGCTTCACTCATGTCCAGCCACAGAACAGCTCACCCTTCGCCCAGCCTCGTTGTTGTGAAGGTTCATCTGGCCCTCGGCCGAGTTCCTCTCCTCGTTCGAGTCGACGAACTCTTTGCTGAACATGCGTCCAAAGTCCACGTCCTGTCAAACAAAAAGGCGTATCTGAGTCACAGCATGTACAGATCAGCACTGCACAAGACGGTTGGCCAAGACGACAGCTCGTCCTAACTGCATGCACGGCTGAGCTGATGAACAAAACATGAATCCACGAAAACCACGGAACAACTTCTCCCCAGCCCCGATGTGTATTGCTTGAAGGCTTCGTAACCACTTCGCACCTTCCTCAGGCTGACTGCCCCACAGGAACATATCGTTCGCCTGCAGAGCCCCAATCGCAATAAATACCCTAGCGCCTGCTATGAATTGAGGAGAAATCTACCGCCTCGCCTAGCGAGCGCACTTCTATCCTCTTCTGCTCTCGCCCGTCACGCAGCTCGCCCGGCACCTACCCGGCTTCGGGGAGAAGGAGTCTCACCTTGGAGCAGGCGCCCGGCACCGTGGGAGGAGGAATCTCACCTCGGAGCAGCTGCCCGGTACCGTGAGAGGAGGAATCTCACCTCGGAGCAGCTGCCCGGTACCGTGAGAGGAGAAATCTCACCTCGGAGCAGGCACCCGGTACCGTGGGAGGAGGAATCTCATTTCGGAGCAGGCGCCCGGTACCGTGGGAGGAGGAATCTCACCTCGCAGCATTCGCCCGGTACGGTGGGAGGACGAGTCTCACCTCGCAGCATTCGTCCGGTACCGTGGGAGGAGGGGTGTCACCTCGCAGCAGCCCTCGGTATCGTGGGAAAAAGAGTCTTACCTCAGAGCAGCCGCCCGGTACCGTGGGAAGAGGAGTCCCACCTCGGAGCAGGCGCCCGGTACCGTGGGAAGAGGAGTCTCACCTCGGAGCAGCCGCCCGGTACCGTGGGAACTTACCTCGGAGCAGCCGCCCGGTACCGAGGGAAGAGGAGTCTCACCTCGGATCAGCAGCCCGGTAACTTGGGAAGAGGAGTCTCACCTCGGAGCAGGTGCCCGGTACCGTGGGAGGAGGAGTCTCACCTCAGAGCAGCCACCCCACTCCCAGCGTTTGGCGCGCCGCGTCAGGATGCGCTGGTCGCAGCCGCACTCGGCAATCTCTCCGCGGCTGCAGGCGCGTGTGATGCTGTACGCCACACCGGCAGCCGACACGGCGTGGATGTAGGCACGCTCGCGACTCTCTGCCGGCGGAAGGGGGAAGGGGGGGGGGGGGAGCGGCGGTCAGCGGGCTGGCCAGAGCCGCTGAGCCGCCTGACGGGAACAGTATGGTGCAGGACGATCATGAAAGGCGGCGTTCGGCCAGTCGGCTGGCCGGTCTTTCAGCTCGCCACAGTGGCTTAGCACCGAGAAACACCAACAGTCCAGTGACTTGTTGCCTGTCTCTGGTGGACAGCTGGCTCGGAGGATACATGGCAGCTATACGGCATAACAGCGGAACCCTAGGAAAACAGACCGCAAGCAGGCCAGCGCCCTTCCTCTGGGATTAATATCTATTTTCCTCTCATTGTTTTACGACGCATGCCAGTGATGTGGTACTGCCGTTGTAATTCCTCACCCTGCTGCGGCGAGACGCCAAAGCATCGCAGCGTTAACACTACCAGACTGGGACTGATAAGTTCAGAACTTGGCTTGGTACTGGCTATGGAACGGAGGGCAGCAGAACAAGCACCCGTACGCATGCCAATTATGTGTGCTTCTTCACATGGCCTGAGCAATGCACAAGGCTGCATAGGCAGGTTCGTGTCGTGCCAGAACAACCAAAGATGAAAGAAAGGAAGTGGCAAAGGGCGGATGAAGTCGTAATCGTCAGCACGGAGACCACGACCAGCGATGAAAGGACCGCTCACGGGGCCTCGACGACAGCGGTTCAGACAGGCTGGCCAGTGATCTGGTATGCGCATGCGATACAACACAAAAAAGGAGGACGGTGATAGCGTACTGACGGCGACGACACCACCGAAGACGGACGTGTTGTTGTTGAAGGTTGAGCAATTCCAGCGGTAGCCGCGGAACTGCCACTGGCACTCTTCGATCCCAGTTTTGGCGCCGCGACCCACGCTCTGCAGCAGACCAGGGGGGGGGGGGGGGCAAGGTCACACACCACGCAGTGATCCGGGGCACGGTTCAGCGACCGCGCTCAGTGCCAAGAAGTGAAACATGCTCCCAGGTCACACAAGGTCTGGTAAACGGAGGAAATGCTTTCAGAGCCCACATGTGCCCCGTCCGATTCATTCCCTGTCTGGAGATAGTTGTCTTCATTCTCATCCTGCATGCAGCAAGAGAAATAAAGGTTATATGAGCATTCCAATCAAATTTATGATCCATACATCGGCATTCAAAATACAAAGAGAATGCAGCCTCATACGGAGCAACAAAACACATTTGCCCGCCCCATACAGGGAAGAGCACGCCGACCTGTGGTTTCCACGGCCGCAGACATTCAAAACGACTTCCTGTGCGGCACAATCGGGCCACCTTAATGACAGCCTGCCCGCGCGTCTCCCGGTGTTGCGGTGAGCGGCCGCGGCGGCGAATGTTGCGCCACCGCGACACTGCGGCGCAATTTACGACACGACCGAAGGCGCGCACAAAGCGCCGAGCCGCGCTCTTTTACGACCTCGGTCAGCGCGTGATCGGAGTGACCGCCTGCCACGCCGCGGTCGGCGACCATCCTACCTGCAGGATGTTCCGGTCCAGACCACACAGTTCGCGCTGGCGGGCCACCAGGTAGTGTAGCTTCTGGCAGGTGTTCTGGTACGTGTTGGACGTCATCTGGAGGTCGATCGAACTCTGCATGCCCAGCAGCCTGCCGGCGGGGCGGCCGCGTCACAGACAGGCCGCGTGACCAGAGGTGAAGGGTGACGCCACAGGTCGCACACCAGGCTGACGAGGTGATGGCTGTGCTGGGATCGCGCCATAGGCCGTGGCCGGTTGTACTAAAAGCCTACCCAGATCACAGCTGGACCTCCAGACAACAGGCAACGCACTGCCAATAACGAGAGCGGGACGGACGACAGCTGCTCTATTGTTGACCGCATGCTCTTCGAAATGTTTTAAGTCACTGAAGTGACGGACACACAGATAAAGCGTGTGCAGAAAACCATGCCTGCCAGTGGGCCTGGTGACCACCCCTCGGGCCACCTGAATGCGACGCCGCAGGGTGACCTCTCAGATCTCGGAAGCACCGCCCTGCCTGGGCGGGTTTCTCTGGCCCGGACGGACAGTCGCCGGCAGCAGCACACTGACCAGCAGCCACGTGCGTGAGTTGAGGGGCAGCAGACCCGTCTGGGGGACCGTGATCCCGTGGCCTCGTCGGGCGGACGCCAGAACAGTCATAGACGCCTGCCGCATCTATGAGTGGCCGCTTATCGAGTGGAGACCAGTCAGCCATCGACCAGGACAGGGGTCGGACGCCTGTGGCTGCGGCCAGTGGTGCTTAAAGGGTCGTTCGTTTATTTCGGTGTGAAAGAGTGGATGGAACTTCCACTGCTTCGATATGGATTCGTCGCAGTGCTGCTTGACACAGCCTGTTCTAAGCTGTCGACTTTAACCATGATATGGATCATGAGACCCAGAAATTACCAGTTGTGACAATAATACGTCGCCGAATAGCAGGCCAACGCGAATCATTGCTCCGAGCGCGTAGTCCTAGGCCAGTGGCTCTGCGTGTTGCAATCATAACGGACGTCAAACAGTTGCCTGAATAACTTTACTTTATCGGCCGTCCCCTGAAAAACCTGTGGTTGTAAAAAAGTACATAAATCTATGCAGGTTGACCGGGCCGCATTTGGAAGGAATGTAGTTAATCACTCAAGCTAACGCTCCTTTTATAAAACCATGCATTTCTGCTGAATGCCTGACAACCACATATGATTTACAGTTATCCTGACTGGCATTTACAACAGGCGTAAGATATGAAAGCCTTCTCATGCACTGAACTGCCATGTTCCTTCAAAGATTTGAGAATGACTTATTTGACCAGATTATTGCCTCGTGACCCTTGCTTGGCAGCCGAATGCGGGTACTACATGCCTGCCATGTATGTGGGATCACACTCGGTTTACAGACCATGTAATTGAGCCGTAGGCAAGGCCACATTGCTTCTTCACTTAATGTAGTTTCAGTTTTATAAGGTGTGAATACCAGTGAAAACGTATGGTTCATACGAGCGGCAGACGCAGTCATTGGTACCAAATGACCACACCGACAGTCTAGTTACGAGTTGAGTTGCAAGATACTCATCCACGTGCTCGATTGAAACGAAGTCCGTACCGCACACAAAATACAAAAAACAGCAGCGATTCCGTTAAATCATTTGTAAGCCGAAGCTCTTAAAGCAGGCGCCCGATTCACAGTGTTGAATTCGAGAGCTCGAGAAAATTTGAGAGCTCACAGCTCAAGAGAACTCGAGAGCTCACAGCTCGATAGAACTCGAGAGCTCTCAGCTCGAGAGAACTCGAGAGCTCAAAGCTCGAGAGAACTCGAAAGCTCACAGCCGAAGAGAACTAGAGAGCTCACAGCCCAAGAGATCTCGAGAGCTCACAGCCCGAGAGAACTCGAGAGCTCACAGCTCGAGAGAACTCGAGAGCTCACAGCCCAAGAGATCTCGAGAACTCACAGCCCGAGAGAACTCGAGAGCTCACAGCCGGAGAGAACTCGAGAGCTCACAGCCGGAGAGAACAGCAAAGGTGCGTGGGATTCCTCATAAATGCATCACAGTGTGCTGGATTGGAAGTAGATTTGGCTCCTCAGACGTGAGGCGCTCAGTTTTCTCTCCCCTGTCGCACAATGGTGGGAGGCGGTAACAGTAACGACGACAGAAACGGGTCCCCTTGGACAACAAGTTCCAAGTCATCAGCTCAGCAAGCGCTTTACAATCTGACGACCTTATGGCGTACGGCCATTCAGAAAATCACGTCAATGTCATGCAGCAGAACAGAAGTCATTACAAAAGTGGTCCGACCAAACCAGATGCGTCGCTCGTCGGCCAACCATAACCTAGTCGCGAGGCTGAATAAAAGGTTGTGGGCGACCGGCCGCGTTCTGGCATCGATCTGCCGTGCACCGGAGGACGGGTCCATTTGCGGTCCCCTCTTGCGTCTCCCCCCCCCCCCCCCCCAGGCAAGGACACGCTGAACAGCGAGGCACACAAAGGAGGGATGATACGATCAAGCCTCGAAACACACCAGAGCCAATGGGGACCGGCCGGAAAGGGTTCGGTCAGATTTGCAGTCCGATTGAATGGGCCTGGGTTTGGGCCCTTTAAATCACATCTCTAATCACTCGCGCAACATCAAGCCCCTGGATTAAGAGTAACGGGCTGGACACAGCAAACATCCGCACGCGCGCAGCACGTTATGTAGCGGTGAAAGGATTTCATTTCAGTCCAAAGCGAGTCAGCTTAAGATGAGTGTCTTGGCAATTGAGGCGCCATCATGTACTGCACACATGCAGTAAAATGCACTCTAATCGCAGCCAGCTTGTTCCCCCATGGTCACGGTTCTCAGGCATCATCGCCCTGATGATAACCCCGCTTCTCACCAGCATATGCCCCTGTCCTCATGGTTCGCCCTCAGTGACCGGCCGGCCTGACCTCGATCATTTGAATCTGTGCCGCCGCTCCTGAGCGGCCGTCCGACTCCCGAGCAGCTGTCCGGCTGTGGATACCCCCTCCCCTCCCCACCTCACCTCATCGCCCGGTGACATGTCATGACGGACCGACCTCGCTGACCGCGCCGCCGCCGCCGCCGGTCCGGCCCGTCATCGGCCGGCGTCAGGCGGCTGGCGACGCCCACCTGACTCACTGTCGTCGCCGACGGTCACCTGCCGGCGGCGTCGCGCCGCCGGCGCCAGGTAGCAGCGCCACAGCGTGAGTCAGAGGCGCCGCCGCCGCGTGCGCCGCGCGTCCGCCTCATTAGGCCGCTAACTAATTGCGCGCGGCGTGAGGGCTGGCCCAGTCAGCACCCCGGCCATAGCGCCACTTCCGCGGCGCGCGAGATTTATGTTGGGAGCTGTCCGCCCCCGTCGCTCGCCCCAGGAGGGGAGCGTCCCTGTCCGTTCGGGTCTGTCCGCCGCCTCGCCCTGTCCATAGCGGGACAGCTGCACACAGAGGACAAGAGACGTGCCCGCCGTGGTGCGAACGGCGGTGGGGGACGGCGTCCGTCACATGTGCGAGCCTATGAATCTTCCCATTGTTTTTTGGCTCTGTCGCTTTCGAAGCCGGTTTCGTCATCTGTTACTCATTTCCAGTCGACTGATGGCGCGGCGCGGCCTTCACGGGTCGGCTGGTGGCTGGAGGGGTTGGTAACCATTCAGCGGGCATTAACGTCGCCAGTGAAGGGATTTCTCGATTGTGCTCGATCCGCTAATAGTCTCTGGCTTGAAGTCTTGTCCTGGTTTTGCCACAGTTGGAGCCGACGCGTTGTTCGTGTGCGCAGGAGCACGCCATTGGCGAAACCTCTCTGTTGTTGGGACTCAGCCTACGTGCTTTCATTCGTAGAAGCTAAACAAAAGAAATGCTTTTGCTGCTTGAGTAAGTTTGCCCAGTTGCCCCAGAACAACGGGTTCATGACCACCGTGTTGGCACAAAGCTCCCGAATATTCGTGCACTTGAAAAGGAGCAAACGGAATAAAACCTGTTCGCAGACGGCCAATGTAGTAGCCTTTTCAATTGCACTAGTTCAGATCACGGTGCGGCTCTGTCAAACACCTTACGCCTCATGCCTGCACGAGGTGCCAGAATCCTTCAAGATGGGCGCTTATTCTTACTCCCTGTGTGCCATACCAAGCGACGTTCTGCCCGCTTTGCTGCTTAGATAAGCATCTTTCTTTTGACTGTATATCTTATACGTTCCTCATATACGCGCGTAAGTTAGGATTTGCGCTCATTGCCTGAGCGAGGATTACGGTGTCTGAGACATAACTGTACCATAGATTGCTTTGAAGGATCAGAACTTAGAGTTGATTCCGTTCAGATGGGTGATAGTGGGGGCGCATTTGTGGCTCGTTGTGTCTAGCCGTTTTCCATTTGCATTTCATCCAAGCCTCAACGAGTATACAGCGCGACTTGTTTGCAATATTGTTATCCACTTTTGTTTGCACAGTTATCATCAATTTTTGCACAGCAGCGTCCCCATCCTTACGTGTTTTCAATCCCAGTAAGCAGTAAACAAAAACAACAGGTGGCATAAAAACTGGTACCAGCGTGTAACCACCGCGCTGTAGGCCCAGGCCCCATCGACTTCCCACACGTCCTGCCTTCAATCTCAGCCAAACCCGTCACCTAAATCCCAATGTTGATAACATTGTCGAAACATAAAGCGCGTGTTGGCCGTTTCGAATACCCAGTCGACAAGCACGGCCCAGTTATTGCGGCCGCGGACGCCGGTTAGAGCGCCACTAAGGCTGGGAGCAGCGGCGGTAAACGGCCGCCTCCGAGCCGGCAGGGCCATCAGCCCCAGCAGCGTCCGAGAGCCGCTGGCGGCCGGAGGGGGCACCGCCTGTCATCAACGCTAGCAGCGTCCGAGAGCCGCTGGCGGCCGGTCGGGGGCGCCGTCTGTCATCAACGCTAGCAGCGTCCGAGAGCCGCCGGTGGTCGGCCGGGGGCGCCGTCCGTCATCAGCGCTGGCAGCGTCCGAGAGCCGCTGGCGGCCGGTCGGGGGCGCCGCCTGTCATCAGCGCTAGCAGCGTCCGAGAGCCGCTGGCGGCCGGTCGGGGGCACCGCCTGTCATCAGCGCTAGCAGCGTCCGAGAGCCGCTGGCGGCCGGCCGGGGACGCCGTCCGTCATTCTCGCTAGCAGCGCCCGAG